GGGCTACCTAGGGGTCTTAGGAAACGGGCAGGTGCTGATTCCGTGGGAGGAGAGCAGGACCTGAGATTCGGCATTGCTGACCAGCTCCCAGGTGATGGGGCTGCTCCATGCGCAGCAATGAATGGTGCCAGGGATAATCGCAATGTCAGGGCTAAGGCTTCAGAAGGATGTGAGTGTCAGAGCGGGAAGGACTCAGGAATAGTGTGGTCCAACTCCCTCATGGTGCTGACGGGGAAAGAGGCCCAGAGAGGGCAGGACACTTGCCCACGGGCACACAGTGAGTTATAGGCGGAGACCAAGTCTTCAGACTCCCATCATTGCTCCTTCCTCTGCCTCCCGTTTGCAGCAGCAGGAACTTGAGACGAAGGACAGCAGTATCCACCGGCTCTTGTGCCCGTTTCACACCGTACATTTTTGGCATTTTCAAATCTCCCAGTCACCTCTGTCGGAGTTTCCACACTAGGGGAGTAATTCTCAGAACAGACTGGCAGGGCAGACCACACTCGGCCAGAAGCCTCCAGGGCTGCATCCCCAGGTCCTGGAGCTCACTCTGCTGCGCCCCCCTCCCCGTGCTGCACATCTGGGTCCCCAGAGAGCACTTGAGCTGATGGAGTGAAACCACTTTTAGGGCAAGCGAGAGGCTGTCTTCTCCAGGCTGGATAAACAAGGTACGAACAACAGGAATTCATTTCCTAGAAATGGAACACTGAATTTGTTAGGGCTTACGGGATCCAAACCTACTATTCACCATCTGCTCGCCCTGCTGGGAGGCATAATCCAGCTGTGTTACAAGCACAAGCTTTAAAGTCAGGTAGACTGAATTTGCTTTCCCGCTATGCCACTTACTAGCTCTGTGACTTTGGGCAAGTTTCTTGACTTCTCTGAGCCTGTTTCCTCAGCCATTCGATAGCTATTCGCTTAAAGCCTTACCCCGTGTTGCCGTAAGCAACACACATGTGGACCCTGTTCCTGGGAAGACTTCCGGCGGCCCCGGGGATACGCTCCCGGAACCTGGGTCCACAGACATGACTGAGGATGACATTGGAGCATGAAGGGAGCCGTGGGAATGTAGGAGAGACAGATAACCTGCTGTGACCCCAGACCCCTTCTGAAAGTAGCCCCGAAGCGGAGCGCTGGAGGACAAATGCAGTCAGCCAGGGGAGAGGAGTTGGGGCCGAGGACACCTATTCCACAGACTGAAGAATCCTTGGAGAACTTCTCCCTTCATGTGCCCTGAATCCTTTCTCTTCACTTCCTGTGGCTTACCTATCCAGAGGCTGCACAGTCCAGCCCTTTCCTCTCCCCTTCACCTGCACTCGCAGAAGACCCCACCTCCAGCATAGCTGAGGCCTCCTTCTGCAAAAACACCATGGTTCTCTCACTCCTCTGAGCCTTTGCACAGGGTATTCCCTCTACCCAAAATACCCTTCCTCTCATCTCTGGATCCACCTTCTCTGGAGGTTTCTCTGGACCCAAGAGATGGAACTGATTACTCCCTCCTCCCCACTCCACCGGGCTTACTTGCTTACTGCCTGTCTCCCTGTTGGACTTGATTTCTGGAAGGGGGGAGTGGTATACCTGTGTCATGAAGTCCAGAGACCTCTGTGTGGGTAGCCTTCATCTACTCATCCAACTGCAACTTCACTCCCAGGATCAAATTCAACTGTCACCTCTTTGCTGAAACTTGTCCACTCCATCCACCACTCATGGGAGCTTGGAAGGTCCCAAACTCAGTACAGCCACCATCTTCCTCACCCACACCAGCCCCTCCTGTTTCCTCCTTGGCAGGCACGATCCTGTTCCCATTCACCTGTCCCTAGCACTTGGCATCCTCCCCCTCCCTTATTCTCCCTGGCAATTAACCAGTTACTTCCCTTTTATGTATGAGCAGGTTGAGGCTCAGAAAGGTCATGCAATCTGCTCAAGGTCACACAGCTCATACGTGGCCAGACCCAGGGTCTTGCTCTGAACAGCTCAGACTTCCTCCCTAGCCTGACCTCTAATTCCCTACAAGTCCTGTCTCCTCTCCCCTGACTTCTCCACACATATTTGGGGAATTCACATGCTGATTCAGGCTGACTCCCCTCTGCCTGGAAGAACGATCTTTCCCACTCCCCTTCATGCATACCTGATGTCATCTGCTCTCTGTTCTCTGAAGCCCTTCTCAAAAGCCGCTTCCTCCAGGAAGCCTTTTCTGGTGGCAAAACCTTCCTCCTTTAAGCCCTCTCCTGACTCTGGGTCTGTTGGTGCCTCTCACTGCCTGTGCCTGGAAGCTCTTTGAAGAGCTCCCTATTCCCTCCGCACTCCAGTGACCGTGGCACGGTAGGCTGGCAATCAGTACAGAAGAACTCCTTTGTAAGGCTCCAGTGAGCCCTGGAGAAATAATAGCATTTGCTCTCTCCGGTCTGAAACTCTCCAACCGCTCCCATATCAGAACAAAATCCGAAATCCTCACCACGGCCACAAGGCCCTACGCTGTCTGATGCCCAAGACACCTCCTTGACTTCATCTCTTACCAGCTGCCGACTCCACCCTTAAATATCACCTCTTGGGCACAGCTTTGACCAGCCAATATAGTAAAGTAGCCCTCATTCTCTATCCTATCACCCTGCTCGATGCTCGTTTTAACACTTAACCCTATCTGATGTTTTCTGCTCATCTTTGCTTGTCTCACCCCACCCCCTCCCAAAACTCACCTTCTGTCGAGCCCATCGCTATATCCCCAGCGTCTAGAATAATGCGGGGCTGGCAATACCTAGGTGGGTCTACAGCCTGAGGAGAGATCTGAGCTGGAGACAAACCTTTATGAGTCACATGCACAGAGGTGGTTACTAAAGCCAACAGGGTGGATGAGCTCACCCAGGGAGAATGTCTAGTACGAGCGGAGCGGAGGGCCTGGGGGAACAGAGCCGGTAATGGCTGTAGAAAGAAGGATAAACTTGCAAAAACAAGAGATGAAGAAGGGAAAACAGGACAGTGTTACATTGTAGGAGCCAGAAGAGAGTGCGTCCTGAGGAAAGGAGTGGTCAGCCGTGTCATCTGCTGCTGAGAGAGAAAGTTCAAGACTGAATGATGTCCGTGGAATTCAGCTTGCTGGAGAACACAGGTGACCTTGGCAGATCCCTGTTCCTCTGCCTGACTCCAGACCCTGCACCATCTGCAATGAGAGGGACCTCTCAGGTCCCTGGAACTCCCAGCTCTAAGAATGTATTTCTGCTCATAGTCACATCACTTTGCCAAGAACTGTCATCCATCTGCGGCCTAGGAGAGTAAGGATGACCCTGTCTGTTCACCCTCATTATCTGTCATGCAACTGACCAATTCTGAGAAAGCACCTTTGTATTTCTGGGCCTGTACTAGGCACCGTGGGGAGGAGGAGGCCCTAGGCCCTACCAGTCACATCCAGCTGGCCGGCCCCTTCCTCCTAGGCCACCCTCTACGTCCTGGCTTCCAGGATGCCTCCACAATAAAGACCACCCATTTTCCCCCACTCGTTGGACAGGACCAAAGCCTGCAGAAGGCCCAGCTGTCCAAGCAGCCTTGCTCACTGCTGTCGGTAAAGAGTCCCTCCTTGTCCCTGTGAGGAAGGCTAAGACCCTGACCAGTGGCTGTGCAGTCCAGAGGAGAGCACAGACCTGAGACGTGTGCTCAATCAGAAAACACTTGAGGCCAATTCCAAGGAAGAGATTGAGAGGTGATTCCCACTAACCAGAGCAATGATTTCCACTAATGACTGAGCTGTTGTGTGGCCAGGTGCTGTGCTGAGCAATGACCACATTTGATGTGCACGGCAAGCTTGTAAGGCAGCATTCTTAACCCATTTCACATGGGAGAAAACCACAGCGCAGAGAGGTTAAGGGCTTTCACAAGGTCAGGCAGCTAGTAAATAGCCAAGCCCGGTTTGCTAATGCAGACAATCTGATGGAGAGCACCACCTCTTAATTTTTTGAACTTCCCCAGAGCTGGTGAGGCAGGGGGCTAAGTCTTAGATCCTCTTACAAGCAATGCGACCTTGGGCAAGATTTAGTCTCCACTCTCCCCACCTGCAGCAAAGCAGATTTCTTAGTGCCCTTCCAGTTCTGACATTATGTGATTAGCTAGGATTTGTACAGAACTTTACAGTTTAGAAAAAGGCATCCCGGGGCGCCTGGGTGGCTCAGTCGTTAAGCGTCTGCCTTCAGCTCGGGTCATGATCCCAGGGTCCTGGGATCGAGCCCCACATCGGGCTCCCTGCTCTGTGGGAAGCCTGCTTCTCCCTCTCACTCTCCCCCTGCTTGTGTTCCCTCTCGCTGTGTCTCCGTCAAACAAATAAATAAAATCTTAAAAAAAAAAAAATTTAGAAAAAGGCATCCTTACAGCATCTCATTTATTCCCACGGATCTTGCAGGGTGGGAGAAGTATCCCCTCCATTTGACAGATGAGCAAACTGAAGTTCGAAGAGATGCAGTGACCTGCCCAAGGTCACAAAACAAGTCCGGGCCCGCTGGGCTTCGGGTCTGGAAACAGAGGCTCCACACTAGACGCTCTTTCAGCTCCCCTCCGGAAAGGGCCGGCCCCGCGCTGCGCCGCACCCCGACCTGGCCGGCAGGGGGCAGCGCCCCGCTTCCCTCCGCCTCCCGGGGGCGTCACAGCCCCCGACCCAGGCGCGCGGCCCCCGCCCGGCCAGATCTCGCCCCGGCGCGGGGCGCCCCGAAGGCGCGCCTGGAACCCCGCACCCGTCTCCCGGCGCTGCGTCGGCCCCCACTCCGTCCCGGGGCTCCGGACGGCGCCCCCCGGACGCTCCCCGCGGGTTGGACTGGTCCTCCGGGACCCTCTGTCCCGCGCGCGCGCACCTCGCGTCCGAAGGCGCCGAGAAGGGGATCGCGCCGGGTCACCGAGGCCCCAAGCCGCGGCGCCCCTTCCCCGCCCCAGCGCCCTCGGGACGGCCGTCACGGCCGGACTCCCAGCCCCGAGGGCCCCGGCGCGCCCTCCCTGGGCGGCGCTCGGCTCCGAGAGCTTACCCGCTCCCCGCCACGCAGGTGCGGACCCCGGGCTCGCCGGTCCGGGTCCTGCTTCCTCGCGCAGCGCCGCGTCTCTCCGCCGGCGGCCGCCGCATCTCGCCGCGACCCCCGCCGAGCTCCGGGCGCCGCCCGCCCCGCCGTCCCGGGGGCTCTGCCCGGCCCGCGCCCTCGCGACCCCCACCTCCCTCCTCCGGGGCCGGCGCCCTGCGGCTCCCGCTCGGCGCTCCCCTTCCCGCGCCCGCCGCTCCTCCTCGCTCCCTCCCCCAGCTCCTCCCCCGCGAGGCTCGCTCCCCTCTCGGCCCCCCGCCCGCGGCCCGCAGGCTCGGCCCTCTCCGGTCCCGGCCGCGCGGGGAGCTCGGAGCCCCCGCCGCCGCCCCAGCGCAGCCCCGGGCTCCACGCGCCGCACCTGTGGGAGAGCCGGTGGGCTGGGTCCGCAGTTGGGGGGGCGGCCACGCCCAGAGCCCCGGGGTGAAAGCCTAGCCTCCCGCATCTGTCCTTCGGTGCCCGTCTCGTGTGTTCATCCCTAGTTGGATTTTTTTTTTCTTCGTTTAACAAATAACTGTTGATCTGTGTGTCCGGCATGTTCTAGACACTGGGGACATGGTGCACTAAACAGTTGTGGACCCAAGGGAGCTTACATGAATGTGAGAAGTAAAACATATAAAATGTTTGTAGAGGTAAATGGTACGGAAGAAAATAAAGTAGGGAAAAGGAAAGAGAGATGAGGTGGCCTCACTGGGAAAGTGGCGCCTGAGCGGAGGCAGGAGGTGGGGAGTGGGCCCTGCAGAAGAGTGGGGAACCGGTATTCCCAGTGAGGGCCCCCACCCCCACCCCCCAGGCGGCCGGTCGGTTGGGGACTAAGTGAATAGCAGGAGTTGAGGTCAGAGAGGCACTTCCCGCCTCCTGTGCTGTCATGAATCTGCCCCGTCCCAGAGAACCAGGGCTGAGAAGACTTGAGCACAAAGCGAACATCGAGAACCATCCCTTGGGGAGGCACAGCGCTGGGCGCGTCCTGTGTCCAGGCTTCACATGGGTCAGGTGGAGCTGGCCTTCCATATCCCTATGGGCTTTTTGTCTACTTGCTCTTCATGCATTTTGAAGCCTTGTTATTAGGTCCATCCAGCATTAGGATGGCTATGTCTTCTTGATGAATTGACCCTTTTATCCTTATGAAGTGACTCTGTCCCAGGCAACCGTTTTTGTTGTGAAGTCTCCTTTAGCTGGGTGTAGGGAGAGGCCAGCAGTCGGGTGGCTGGTTTATTTACGGCCCACACGAGTGTTTGAAAGCTGGCCCACCAACCCTCAACACCTCCTCCAGACGTTCTTGTTAGTGTCCTTCTGTGTCCTTTTGTTTCCACAAATTCCCTACCCACCTGGCCCTCCCCTCCTTTCTCCACACCTCACCCTCCTGGTTTACCGTTGGATCATTGGCCAGGGACCTCCATCTCTCTCAAGCTCTCTCTCTTTTTTGGAAGGCTGTGATCAATGATCATCAATAATGCAAAAGTTCTTTTTGTCTTAGTGCAAACCCCAGGCAAGTAAATCACTGGCAAATAGACAGGAGTTATGGGCAGCCACACCTCAGCCTCTTTCACTCTACTCAGGTCCTGGGCTCTTTTCCTGAATAGGAAATAGGAAGATGGAACAATGCCATATGTAGGCATTTCCCAAAATAGGTGCTGCTGCTGTGCCTGTCCCAAGTAGAACAGTCCTGGGGAGGAAGGGAACATGTCTAGACAGCAGAAGCAATTGCACTAACACCAGGGTCCCGGCCTGAGGTCCTAGAGTCGGGAAACCCACACGGAGTAAATACACCTGGGGGTGTCCTCAGTGAAAAGACCCGGACAGCCCCAGAAGCTGTCCTGACCAGGGATGAGAAACAGGGAAGAGAAAGGGGCAAACCTTGTGTGACATCTCAGCGTTCTCTAACCAACTGACAGCATTTAACAACAGCTGGTCTAAGGAAAAGGCTGGATCTCCTGGAGAAGGTCACTTCAGCCTCTCAGCCCTCACCCTCTGTGTTAAGTAAGCACATTCTCCACTCGCAGAAAGCTTACAGTCCAGGAGAAAAAACCCACATGCAGTTAAGCACTGCGTGGTGTGGGGGAAAGGAGAGAGGTTCGATGGGGAAGGTCACCCCGCTTGATGGGGAAGGTCACCCTGCTTTGAGCCCGGAGGGTGAGTAGCAAGCATCTGAGCAAAGGGGGAAGGAGAGCAAAGGTGTTTCCCAGTAGAAAGAACAGCATGTGCAAAGGCATAGACACTAAGAAAAGAACTTGGTTGGGGGGTGGGTGCGCCTGGGTGGCCCAGATGGTTAAACGGCTGCCTTCCGCTCAGGTCATGGTCTCCGGGTTCTGGGATCGAGCCCCATGTTGGGCTCCCAGCTCAGTGGGGGGCCTGCTTCTCCCTCTCCCTTTGCCTCTCTCCCTGTTCATGCACGTGCTCTCTCTCTCTCTGTCTCAGATGAATAAATAAAACCTTTAAAAAAATTTTTTTAAAAAGGAATTTAGTTAGGGGAATTGCATATATTGCATATACTGCTAGAGTAGGGAGAAGAGGTCAGGATGTGGCTGGAGGGGCGGGAAGGAGCCAGCTCATGAAGAGCCTTGAATGGCAGGTGAAGGACCCCAGGTTTTATCCTGAGAGCCACGGCAGCCAGGGAAGGGCTCCAAATAAGAAAATGGCATGATTGGGGCGCCTGGGTGGCTCAGTTGGTTAAGCGACTGCCTTCGGCTCAGGTCATGATCCTGGAGTCCCGGATCGAGTCCCGCATCTGGCTCCCTGCTCGGCGGGGAGCCTGCTTCTGCCTCTGACCCTCCCCCCTCTCATGTGCTCTCTCTCTCTCATTCTCTCTGTCTCAAATAAATAAATAAAATCTTTAAAAAAAAAAAAAAAGAAAGAAAATGGCATGATTGGACAGTGGTAGGTGGGCAGTCTCTGTACCCTGAACCCTGATACCCACATGGGCATCATCGACAACTCTATCATAGTCCCCATCACTGCTCCCATGCTGAGAAAACCTGCGGCAATTCCCTAAGAGCTTCCCAACCCCTCCAAACCATCCTCCATGCTTCCCTAGAACAGGCTTCCTGAAACACACGGATTCCTGGCCCGGACATCTCCAGCACCTGCTACCGCTCCTGAAGAGGTCCCAGCTCCCCGCCCTGGCATTCCAAACTCTTCCCCGTCATTTCCCACTCTGTATGTTCTGCCTTCTATAACCTGGCTCATGCTTTTCCTTCCATTTGCAAAGTTCTCATCCCCATTTCCGTGAATCCCTCTCGTTTCCAGAATCTTTCATACCTCCTTGACTTACCATGACTCATCCCCTTAAGGCCCCGCTCTGAGATCCACTTCTCTGCAGGGACCGTCCCATTCCTCCTGAACGGAAGTGGTGGTTCCCTCCTTGCAGGTCTGATGGTAGAGTGGGGGTTAAAAGGGTCGACTCAGTGATCAGACTGAGTTTTATCTCCTGATTTCACCGCTCAGTGGCCGTGCAACCCTGGACAAGTTACCTCAATTCCAGAAGCCTCAGTTGGCTCATGTGGAAAATGATCACAATAATAGTACTCCATGGGGTTATGATGATGACCGTTAAAACCAAGCCCCTAAAGTACATAGTGTAGCGCCTGGCACATAATAAGCCCTCCACGAGTGTTTCCTGTCACTATAATTGTAGTTGGGATGCCGTACCTTTCAGAATTACTTTGTGTCCATCTCCCCCAACATTGAGTTTTGGAAGGGGAGGGGTTATGCACCTCAGTATGCCCCGTGCCTAGCACCAGGTCCGGCACACTGTGGCTTTCAACCAAAGACGGATGGATTGATGGATGGATGGACGGACAAATTCATGAAAGAAGCCAACCAGCTCCCATTGAGTCTCCTCTGCTTAAGAGGTGGCAGCCAGGCTTGTCCTTTTCTGAACAGGGTTGAATGAATCCTGTGTCAGGGGACTGATGTCCAGGGCAAGCTTTGTCATCAGTCTGTGGTTTGTAATTTCTTCAGGAGAGATCTGTCTAGACAGAGGGGACATCTGCACCAGGGACTGCATGGGAATCAGAATCCAGGCGAGGGCTTTTCAGGGAACCGGAAGCCCAGCCTTCTCCCTCCTTTCTTCCTTCCTCTCTGCTCCCAAGGTTGCTGAGCAAGTTTGCTGCCTGCTCTCAGCAGTGGAAATTAGTTGACAGTTTTGACCTGGGGACAACAGAGAGGGCCCTTCACCAGGTAGTGACAGGGCAAAGGGAAGGATGGAGAATCCACCAAGGAAAGGAACCAATATTTATTGAGTAATTTTACGTGCCAAGCACTATGCTGAATGCTTAACATGCATTGTCCTCTCCATAATCCTGGGAGGAAAGGACTACTGTCTTGCCACCTGATGAAGAAACACACACAGAAGTTAAGTGACTTTCTCTTGCAAGCGTAGTGACAGGGTGGGACTTCAGTTATATCCAACTCCGCAAGCCCAGGCTTCTCACCATGAATCATGCGTCTAGTGAACGAATATTTTGAGCACCTGCTCTTTGCACAGTACTGTGGTAAGTGGTTCGGGGACAGCAAGGATAATTCAGTTGTGATTTCTACTCTCATTCCCTGCCGCCCTCCACAAGCTGTCTTTGTATTCCTGGCTCAGTGCCTGGCAATGTAGTGAATGTTGACCACAGCATGGATTGTCAGAGCTGGAAGGGCCTTTGAAGTTCAAGTATATTGATCCTGTCAATTTACAGATGAGACCAACAAGGGGGAACTAACTGGAGAGTATGGTCAGGAGCTTTGGGCTCTGGAGGCAGGCCACTTGGTTTGAATCTCAGCTCACACCAGCTGTGTGACTTTGGGTCGGTCACTTAACCTCTATGTGCTTCAGTTTCTTTGAGAAAGGGGGATAAAATTGCAAAAATTAAGTAAGATCGGGCGCCTGGGTGGCTCAGTTGGTTAAGCGACTGCCTTCAGCTCAGGTCATGATCCTGGAGTCCCTGGATCGAGTCCCGCATCAGGCTCCCTGCTCGGCAGGGAGCCTGCTTCTGCCTCTGACCCTCCCCCCTCTCATGTGCTCTCTCTCTCTCATTCTCTCTGTCTCAAATAAATAAATAAAATCTTTAAAAAAAAATTAAGTAAGATCATTCTTGAGTGGGGTTTAGCATAACACTTAACACGTAACCCCACAACACATTTTGCTCTGATTATGATTAACTCGTCACACAATGAGTTAGCAACAGATCTGGACTAGAC